TTATTAAATTAAAAATAAAGCGCTTGATACTAAGTATTATTTTTGTATAATATTTTTTATCTAGCAAAAACCTTTCTTAAGCCCCCAAGCTTACCCCAAAATACCATTTAAGCCTTTGAATTAAAAATGAAACAGATAATCCCTCTAACTTTATTAACAATGCAAATAAACTCTTCTCGCAAATGGAACAAACAGTATTTCATATTTAATATCACTTTGAAAACATACAAACCCATAAATGAAAATGATTTATTTGTATCATTAGTGAAGTTGAAAATTTTATTTACTTCATTTTTAGTTTAGGAGTTTCAATGTTATTTGAGATAAGTTTAAGAATTTAAAATTTTTTTTTACCTTTTATCTTATATTTTAATATAATTTAGACAATAAATTAAACTACTCTTATCATTTGTAATGTATAATTTACGAGGGAAGAGACAAGACAGGAGAGAGAGCAGAATAGCCAGCCAGCCAGCAGGTGACGTAAGCTCTTACATAAAGGCTCTTACTTTTTTTGAGCCCTCGTTCTTTCCTTAATGGGGCGTTTGATTGGAGTGAAGATTCTCCCTCATCCTTTTCTCTTATTTAAATTTTTTTATGGCCCACATTGCACATAAAAATATTGTTTAGGTACTGAGATTAGTATTAAATTATTATTAATAAAAAAATTTAATATCAATAAAAATCTTTCAACTTGAAATTTTTTTTATTAAGAGTACTTTAATAAATGTATAAATTAAATTAAATTTTTAATGTGTTATTTGATTTGTAAAATAATTTTTGTTTGATTTTTTAAATTATTTACATATTTTTACACCTTAATATTACAATAAAGAAAGGTAAAAATAATATTTTAGCATTTATTTTTCTGATAAAATTTCCTTTTAATGTAAAAAAGTTTTTTTTTTTAATTTTCTTATGTGAGATCCATTTAATAATTTCCTTACTAACTTTTTAAATATTAATTCCATACCAAATACAAAATAATAATAATAACAATTTAAACAAAATTTTTACAAAATTCTTATTACAAAAATTTTCAAACTTTTTATTAAATACTTTCCCAGTTAATTTCTTATTACTCTATTTGTCTTATGATAATAGACATTTTTTATTTAAAATTTGTTTAAGAATATGTATTTTTTTATATTTTAAAAACGATAAATATTTTTCTTTTACTTAAACTTTATAATTATTTATTAATTTTAATTATTCATGTTATCAAAAAAAATATTTTTATTTTTATTTAACCAAACAGCTTTTTTCAATAAAATAAAAGCTGTTTCAATAAAATTATTGATATTTAATCAAACAGCTGCTAATTCCTGCATTAGTTGATTTTGTCTGCTCCTCCATTACATATTGTTTCAAATTCATGAAGAAAGCTCCAAGAATTGCATCACAGCAAGTCTGCATGTGGGGTTCCAATTTCCTAGCTACTTCCTATTCCAAACTTTCCCACATATATGACTCGGAAAGGGTTTTGACATTTTTTGGACAAATCTATCAATTAACATCCATATTCAATTCTGACATGTGCATGTTATGGGACATATACATATGATTGCAAGTTGTAAGACTACTGTCTGATATTTTAATCAAAACTTTCCATAAAATAAAA